CATAAATGGAAATTAAAAATACATTGTTGATTGCTATGGGAATCAGGTGAGATAGTCAAAGCAAAATGTGAAGTGTGAATCGTGTTTCTCATGAGAATCACTACTTTGGAAAAGAAAAACGAGCCGGGGAAGGGTTTTCTGTCCATCCTGTTCAGAGGTGGTGTTGCCAAGTGGTTGTGTTTGGGCTCTGGGTCCTGGTTTTGTGGGTTCGAATCCCTTGTTCTGCCACTTACTAGTTGCGTGATCTTGGAAAAGCTGTCCAACCTTTCTGTCCTCAGTGTCACCACCTGGAAAATGGGCATAATAATATCTATCATACAGATATTGATGTGTGATGGTGAATGAGTCCGTGTGTGCCAAGTATGCAGGGTGGTGCTGAGCACTTAGCAAGGACCATCCGTCAGCTCTAGTGTGTATGAATGAACGCTCCAAGGGCGTGCAGGATGGGGGTGATGGGAAGGAGCAAAAGGATTAACTGGGAGTGTAAATAAATATTCAAGCAAGAGCCGAGGTGGATATTTCTCAATTAAAAATTTTTCAGATTTCCTTGGCAATTGTTAAGTCTGAATTTAACTACACATCTGTGTTTGGTATGGGGAGTTGAGGGACAAATGAGACAAGGGTGTCCATTTTTAGGGTCCAGAGGCAATTTCAGGTTGTTATTTTTTGTTACTGTTGTTTCTGATAATCAAAAATAGCATGTAGGATTTAAGCTATTTTGGACGACTACATAGATAAATAAAACAACTCTTATCGGAAAAATATTAGAACTGAAATTGTAGAAGCTGTCTCATCCAGTTTTTTCCCAAGCCACTCAGCATATCAAGAACAACTTTATTTTTTTTAAGATTTTATTTATTTATTTGAGAGAGAGAGAATGAGAGAGAGCACATGAGAGGGGGGAGGTTCAGAGGGAGAAGCAGACTCCCTGCCAAGCAGGGAGCCCGATGCGGGACTCGATCCAGGGACTCCAGGATCATGACCTGAGCCGAAGGCAGTCGCTTTAACCAACTGAGCCACCTAGGCGCCCTCAAGAACAACTTTCTAAAAATCAGATTCCCAGGTTAGGCCCTTGAATGAGTTATCAAGGAGAAAGCCAAGAACGTGCACTGTCATCTTCACAAGCCCTCCAAGGTGTTTCTGATGATTGAGCCCCTTGAAGAATTTCTCATCCATTCTAACCTCAGGAGCAGAACTGTGTCTTGAACCAGATCTCTTATGGCTTTCAGTCTGTAATTTCCTTTTCCCATCTTCTTCCCCAAAGTGACATAAGGCAAATGTAGTGTTCCGGGCTTGGGCTGTGCTGAGATATAGTGTGTAAATCATTCAGGACCCCATGTCTGAAAACTTTTGGAAAATTCTAGATGATATTAAAATCTAAAGTGAAGTTAGTTTTCCTTTAAAATCTTCCCTTTAAGAGAATTTAAATTCTCTTAAATTTAAATTGAAGGGACTATGGGAATTGCAGTTCATGATCATTGATACCTCAACCACAATTACAGACAGCCCTGCCTTAGTTTACACCTTTGATTTGCCAAACACAGGTATCTGTGTGTATGTTACACCCCCAATTCAGAGAATAATTCAGGAACAGAAAGCTAGTGTGGGCATGGTGTGTGTTTAGAGTAGCTGCAAATAGTATCTTTAAGCTTCTCTCATCATTTTGAAAACACATATATTGTTTGGTGCAAGGAACAAAATGTTTTCCATAGCAACCACGGCAACCCTGGATGCCTGGCCTATTAACTGTAATGCAGGGAACATCTTCAACAGCAGGGAAAGAATTCTTGGCAATTATCACCCAGATAGTATCCCTCTGTTGTAAGAGCTTAGTCTGAAGCTTCTGGGTTTGGAACATTTTTAACTCAATGTGTTAATGCAGGTGAACAGCAACAATTCCATTTCAGTTAATTTCAGGGTGATTAATAAGCTAAGGATTTTACTGTGGGCAAAAGGAAGATGTGATTTTCTTTGGACAAATTTGAAGAAGTCTTCTAACATTAACTCCCCTTCTTTTGTTTTGTCTTGCTTTGTGGTTTGGTTTGGTTTTTGGTCAATCTATTCTGATTTTATGCTTTGCGAGGTGACAGAGAGAGTTCCTTGTCATTTTGTTTTTCTCTTCCATGCTTAACATAAATTCTTATCATATATGAGTACGATAATAATTAGAATAAATGAAGAAAAAATCCTAAAGCATGACTAGGAAGTCTGGCTGTGGATTATTGAGGATAAAACAGAAATAGTTAAGGTTTTAGAATTTTGATTTCAAAAATAGTGATGATCACATAAAAAGTCACAAGTTGTCACCAGCTGTCCAATGCTGTATATATTTTTATGCAATAAACCAAATAAATATGAATAATGTGAGTCTCCATTTATATAAGAAAGACATACTGATGATAGAAAATATGTTACAGGCAAAAAGCATAAAAGGATGAAATCACTCATATTTTCATCGCTCAGAAGAAATCACCACACAAATTTCTCTTCATCATGTTTCAATACTGTTGAGATCAAAGTTTATACAACCTTGCTTTTTTTCACTTAAGAAGAAAGAGGCCTCATGAAATGGGCAGGAGGAGAAATTGAATGGAAATAAAGAGTAGGCTCAGAGTCATTTTGGACTTTTTATTTATTTATTTATTTATTTATTTATTTATTTATTTATTTATTTATTTATTTATAAATGTAAAAGCTCTTCTTAAGCCTCCCTGTCAGTTGTGAGAAGTTGAGAGAAGGTAGTCCAGACTGGGAATTGTGGACAGGTTAGTGAAGACAGAGCTGGTTGATAAAAATGTCCGGAAGGATCTGGCATGTCAGAATCTCTGCTCAAATGCCTCCTCCCAGTGCCTTTCCTCTTTATTGATTTTATGGGTTTTTGGAAACCTTTTTTTTTTTTTTCTGCTACATAATATTCTCAAAGAGCTATGCTTGAATCCCAAGTGTCAGGTGTTCTAAACTTGCTGGATCTCATTCTCCTGAACTATATAATGGCAATTGTGTTATTTATTTCACAAGATATTATGTATGTTTTAAAGTAGGCTGAACTGCAGTATCAAAAAAGTTCTAATGTGCAATGTCTTAAACAACATAGATGTTTAGTTCTTGTTCATATTATTATTCAGGTCAGGCATTCAAGTAGACAGATGCTTGCCTTCATGTGATGATATGGGATTACAGGATCTTTCCATGTTGTTGTTTTGCCATCAACTAGGGCCTTGGTGCCAACTGCGTCCATCAGTCATAGAAGGGGAAACAAGTGGGGAAGAGACCAGTTGGCTTGGAAGTGGCATGTCTTCTTCCTAGTCACATTTTGATTGGAGAGAACTTATTGTTGTGGCTATAAGTATAATAGGATGGAGAGCAGAATTGAAATTAAACTTTACACCTACCACAGAAGAAGAGAAATGGATATTAGGGAAATCAGCCATATCTGCCACTGTATCCACATCTTGCAAAACACTTAATAAAATACATTCCACAATAGATGCTGAGCATGTTCCTTCTCTTCCTTTCCATGAATTTCAGTCTTCTCAGGAAAGTGAAAAAAAAAAAAAAATCAAACAAAAGCTTAACAGCAGTAGCTATTAGGAGAAAATCAACACACAACTTGTAGGATGTGCCTATGACTAAAGTAGGGTCCACCTCACATTCTCCATGTCTTGTGTCTACATGTCCACTTCCATTGATGATAGGCTGTCTGCAATGGGGAGCCAGGACTCAGAAAAGTTCTCGATTACCAAGGACAAATCCCATTGACTCCTTCTGAGATAGTGAGAAAGTAGACCGGGACATTACTAAAATGATTTTCAATGACATAGCTTGAAATCAAAAGGGATTATTGATTAAGTCCTCTAAATTGAAAATTTAATTAACTCCCCAACTCGATACCCTGAGCAAGGTGCTTCACAAAGGTGTTGTTTCCCTCTCATCCCCACCCATGGTATACACATTCTGCCTTTCCAGGATTCCACTCAGTATTTGGAATTTATGAACTCTTGGGTCACTAAAAATGATTATTGACTTCATTATCCCTATGTGAAATGAATACAGAAGACTGAGGCCACACGTCTTCCAACTGAGCAAGAGCTAATATTGATCTTCTGCAAAGCTCCAGTGTATCAAATAATGAACTTCTAGGGCCCAAAAGTTTTTGTCCCATGTAAGAATATTTTTGTGTGCCAAGTATACTGAGTCCCATGTAGATCCGGAAACGTGGCACACTGTCTCACGTCCCTCTGAGATTTTATGTATGCTGTTCCCATGTCCCTGTCTGATCTCTCCAACATTTTCTCTCTTTAACCTTGTTTGCCTGCAACATGGTCCTACTTGCTTCTTCAGCTCTACTGTCTCCCCATCACTGTCTCAAGGCTTTTCTGATTACCTACTGAGACATTCTGTCCTCTGTTTTCCTATCGCACCTTGTGTTTGCCTTTCATAAGCCTTCCCATCACATCACGTCGAACATTTTTATTTGCGTGTCTTTCTTTCTTCAGTACCCAGAATGCTCCGGGTGCTCCATGAACATCGGTCGAATGGATGAGACAGAGTCAAAGATATAGTCAATGATCTTTCATCTTTGTATCCACAGCAAAAATGTCTGGGCCATGGTAGAGGGAGGGATGAAAGTGTAGAGAAAAGAAGGAAGAAAGGAGATCTCAGTCAGGCAGAAGATAGAAAGCATGTTACAAGATTAAGGCTGTAAGAAGATAAAAATAAATAAATAGTACCGGTTGTACTAGGAATCCAGAAAATGGGAACTAATGCCCAAGGAAAGACAGGAAGAGTTATGGAAGGAACAGCGTGGGCTCAAGATGAATCTTGAACCATAAAAGAGAACAGGATGGAAGAGGAGAATGGAAATCAGGCCATGCAAGGACAAGCGGGGCACCACGGGGGGTAAAGACATCTTAGCAGCACACCATTTCATTTCTCTTTGGGAGCTGAGAGTTGCGGCCATGTGGGATGTTACTACAGCTCTCTCTCTGATCTTCTTCCAGGAACTGGCGGTTGGTCTCCAGCAGATTCCAATGCTCAACAGTGGCTCCAGATGGACCTGGGAAACAGAGTAGAGATTACAGCAGTGGCTACGCAGGGAAGATACGGAAGCTCTGACTGGGTGACGAGTTACAGCCTGATGTTCAGTGACACAGGACGCAACTGGAAACAGTACAAGCAAGAAGACAGCATCTGGGTAGGACATCTTTTCTCTTCCAGTGAATGAATCTGAGATATTATAATGGTAACCAGTGAGCATTTCTATCATTTTCCTCTACCCAGATTCTTGGTAGCTTAATAACTGTGGAGTGCCCATTCAGAAATAATTAGATGGTGTATGAGTCCTATCTCCAGCATGGCTCCAGTTCCAACGGAAATTAGGATGCCTGTTGAAAAAAAGTTTCATGTTCTCCTCCTCTTCTGGTAACTTAAGTAGTTCACTGACTGGGTCTCAATTCTTCATCTATACAAAGAGAAGGATACTGCAAGAGTCTGATTGTTAATGAGAATGTATTGATTTATTGAGTATGCATTTATTTACTCACTTGTTCATTATGTACCAGGCACTTTGCACACCTCCTAATGACCCAGCGAGCTCAGTTATATAATCCGACCAAAGCTGAACAATCCCTTAAAATCTCAGCATGAGAATCTGTAGCCTGGTCTGACTTTAAAGCCACTGTGCTCAATAGCTTCCATTCAAGATTTGAAAACAATTAAAAGCTTTAAAAAGACAAGAGGGATATAAAATGCAGAATCATTCTGATATTGGAAACAATCTTCGCCTAGGAAGAGAAGGACAGTGTGCTCTAAGTGGGAGAAAGAACTCCCCACCCCCACCCCGAGGCCCAAACTCTTGACCTCCGGCATAGTGAGAGGCTGTCCCCAGCCCGAGGTCAGAAAGGGAGGCCAAAGGGCGGCTGGGTGGCTCGGTTGGTTGGGCGGCTGCCTTCGGCTCGGGTCACGGTCCTGGGGTCCCGGGATCGAGTCCCGCATCGGGCTCCCTGCTCAACAGGGAGGCTGCTTCTCCCCCTGACCCTCCCCCCCTCATGCTCTCTCTCTCTCTCTCTCTCTCAAATAAATAAATAAAATATTTAAAATAAAATAAAATAAAAAGCACACGTGTAGTAAAGAATACTACATAGCTGGGGCGCCTGGGTGGCTCAGTTGGTTAAGCGACTGCCTTCGGCTCAGGTCATGATCCTGGAGTCCCTGGATCGAGTCCCGCATCGGGCTTCCTGCTCGGCAGGGAGCCTGCTTCTCCCTCTGGCCCTCCCCCCTCTCATGTGCTCTCTGTCTCATTCTCTCTGTCTCAAATAAATAAATAAAATCTTTAAAAAAAATAAAAAAGGGCGCCTGGGTGGCTCAGTCGGTTAAGCGACTGCCTTCGGCTCAGGTCATGGTCCTGGAGTCCCTGGATCGCGTCCTGCATCGGGCTCCCTGCTCGGCGGGGAGTCTGCTTCTCCCTCTGACCCCCCCCCCATGCTGTTTCTCTCTCACTCGCTCTCTAATAAATAAATAAATAAAATCTTTAAAAAAATTAAATTAAATTTAAAAAAAAAAAAAAAGAAAGGGAGGTCAAGGCACAGAGCAAGAGGCACCTGGAGGAGGCTTCAGAAACTCATGCACTAAATAAAATAATTCATTACTTTACATCGCTTACAATTTAAGGAAAAACATCTCCAAATATTTATTTTTCTCTAAATGTACATAAGATTGAAGATTTGGCAATTGATAGAGTAATCTGTCCTTCACATATTCTCCCTACTTGTTTTCCCCATTAAATTAATGCCACCTATGGTTTCAATTGTCTATATTTTTCTGTGTTGGCCCCACCAGTTGAAAACAGATTTCTATTTTATGTTCATCGTTATTTGATAATCGCCATACTCATCAAAATTGCTAATTGAAAATAATAGTAAACTGGGGATTGAGATTAGTTATGGCAGATTGAACCTTGAGAATACTATTATTATCATCTTTATTCTGGGTTGCCTGTAATATTAGGTTGTAATACTTACAGAAAGCACAGGTTTTCTTCATTTTAAAAATTGGATTTTAAGGGGCATTTGGCTGGCTCAGTCAGAACAGAATGCAACCCTTGATCTTAGGATCGTGAGTTTGAGCCCCACACTGCGGGTAGAAATTACTCAAATAAATAAAACTTAAGTTTTTTTTTTTTTTTTAAATAAGGCTTTGGGGGACTATTCTATTTTTTCACTCAATTTTGAAGACTCCATAAATTTTTACAGGTTTTTGTTTTCTTTTGTTTTGCTTTTAGTTTGAAATGAAAAATAAGCACACCTTCCATTTTGAAGAACAATTTTAAGGTTTTATGTTGACTTGAGAAGGACAAATAGATGTGCGATTAATTATTTTCTTCGGCATTTTCAATCAGAACCAGTTGTTTTTCAAAATGAATTGCAGTTTTGAATTCTTTTGTCTAAATATTTTTATTGAGGTATAACTGATACGCAATATTATATTCATTTCAGGTATACAGCATATGATTCAACATTTGCCTACATTGCAAAATGGTTACCACAATAAGTCTAGTTACCATCTGTCACCATACAATACAATTGTCCATATAATATCATTGTCTGTATTCTCCATGCTGTACATTACATCCCCATGACTTTTTTATTTTATAATTGGAAGGTTGTACTTCTTGATCTCTTTCACCCATTTTGTCCATACCCCAAATCCCTCCCTTTGGCAACACCAATCTGTTCTCAGTATCTGAGTCTAGATTTTGTTTCTTTTGTTTGTTTGCTTTGCTTTTTAGGTTCTACATGGTAAGTGAAATCATGCGGTATTTGTCTTCCTCTCATTGACTTATATTACTTAGCATAATACCATCATGGGACATCTTTATCCATTCATTCATTGATGTACACTTGGGTTGTTAGCATACCTTGGCTATTGTACATAATACTGCAATGAACATAGGGGTGCATTATCTTTCTGAATTAGCATTTTCATTTTTTTGATAAATATCCAGTAGTGGAATTGCAGGATCATATGGTCATTCTATTTTTAATTTTTTTGAAGCATCTCCATGCTGTTCTCTCTAGTGGCTGCACCAGTTTGCATTCTCAGCAACAGTGCATGAGGGTTGCTTTTCTCCACAGCCTTGCCAACACTTGTTATTTCTTGTCTTTTTGATAATAACCACTCTGACAAGTGTAAGTGATAGCTTATTGTGGTTTTGATTTGCATTTCCTTGATGATTAGTGATGTTGAGCATCTTTCCATGTACCTGTTGGCCATCTGTGTGGCTCCTTTGGAAAAATGTCCATTCAGATTTCCTGCTCATGTTTTAATCATTTTTTTTATTGTTCTCATTGAGTTGTATGAGTTCTCTATATATTTTGGATATTAGCCCGTTATCAGATATATGATTTCCAAATATCTTCTCCCATTCAGTAGGTTGCCTTTTGGTTTTGTTAATGGTTTCCTTTGCTGTGCAAAAGCTTTTTAGTTTAATGTCCCACTTGTTTATTTTGCTTTTGTTGCCCTTGCGTTTAGAGTCAGATCCAAATATACATATACATATATATATATATACACACACACACACCACTGATGTGAAAGAGCTTACAATTCGTATTTTCTTCTAGGATTTTTATGGATTCAGGTCTCACATTCAAGCCTTAAATCTATTTTAAGTTAATTTGTGTTTATTTTATAAGATATTCATCCAGTTTCATTCTTTTGCATGTAGCTCTCCAGTTCTCCCAGCACCATTTGTTGAAGACACAGTCTTATCTCCATCATATATTTTGCCTCATTTTTCATAAATTAGTTAACCATATATGTGTGGGTTCATCTCTGGGCTCTCTATTTTGTCTCATTGATCTATGTGTCTGTTTTTATGCCAATGCCATACCATATCTTAATTACTATAGTTTTGTAGTGTGGTTTGAAATCAGGAAGCATGATGCCTCCAATTTTGCTCTTTCTCAAAATTGCTATTTGGGGTCTCTTGTGGTTCCATATAAATTTTAGAATTCTTCTTTCTATTTCTATCAAAAATGCCATTGGAATTTTGATAGAGATTGCACTGAATCTATAGACTGTTTTGGGTATCTGGACATTTTAACAAGAGTAATTCTTCAAATCCATAAGCATGAAATATCTTTCCATTTCTTTCTCTCTTCAGTTTCTTTCATCAGGGTCTTATAAAGTTTTAAGTGTACAAGTCTTCCACTTCTTACATTAAATTTATTACTAGGTATTTTGTTCCTTCTGATGCAACTGTAAGTGGGATATTTTTTTTTCTTTCTGATACTTTGTTATCAATTTGTAGAAGCACAACAAATTTTTGCACATAATTGTTATGCCTACTATTTGCAATACTATGTTGAATGAAAATGGGGAGAGTGGACATCCTTAGGAGGAAAAGCTTTCAGCTTTACACTGTTGGAAATGATATTAGCTGTGGGTTTGTTACATATGACCTTTATTATGTTGAAGTCCCTTCCCACTATACCTCTTTGTTGAGAGTTTTTATCATAAATGGATGTTGAATACCATCAAATGGTTTTTCTGCATCTATTGAGTTGATCATATGATTTCTAGCTTTCACTTTTGTTAATGTGGTGGACCACATTGATTTGTAGATGTTGAATCTTGCATCTGTGTGATAAATCCCACTTGATAATGGTGTATGATCCTTTTAATGTATTGTTACATTCAGTTTGCTAATATTTTGTTGAGGATTGTTGCATTTATGTTCATTGGGGATATTGGCCTGTAATTTTCTTTTTTTGTGTTGTCTTTGTCCAGTTTTGGTATCAGGGTAATTAATGCTGGCCTCATAAAATGAGTTTGGAAGCATTCCCTCCTCTTTACTTTTTTGGAAGTTTGAGAATAGGTATTAAATCTTTGAATGTTTGGTAGAATTAACCAATGAAGCTATCTAGTCCTGGACTTTTGTTTGTTGGAAAATTTTTTATTGTTGATTCAATCTCCTTACTAGTAATTGATCTGTTCAGATTTTCTAGTTCTTTATGATTCAGCCTTGGATGAAACTAAGTTTCTAGGAATCTAACCATTTCTACTAGGTTGTCCGATCTGTTGGCGTGTAATTGTTCATAGTAATCTTTAACAATCCCTTTTATTTCTGTGGTATGAGTTGTAACTTCTCCTTCATTTCTGATTTTATTTGAGCCCTCTCTCTTCTTTTTGTGG